CATTTATTAAAAAAAAAAAAAAAAAAAATGCAACATTTTTAGTTCTAAAGTTATCGGTTGCCAAAAAGATCTTCACACAATAACCAAAAATCTACAAACCTCTTTACAACAAACCATTGTTTTAAGGGAAAATGTTAAAAGATTAGCTTCCATACAAAAATGATACAAAGTGAAAAAACAAAGTACAAAACTGCATCGCCTACATGCATGCATCAGACCTAAAGATGAAAGTCAGATCTGATAATCGTAAACACCTACAGCATTTCAAATCCCGCTTTCACTGACGTACACGCGCACACACACACACACACACACACACACACACACACACACACACAAGCAATTATGAGTTATACCTAATACAAACAAGAGAATAGATCTCTTTGATTTTCCAACGTGAATAAAGGAGAATGAGTTATGTACAAGAAATGAAGGGGGGGGGCAATGACCCAAAGCTGGTAGACTAGTTAGGGAAATGGGAAGGACTAGTTAATTCATTGTCCTTAAACGGGCCAGAAATCCGACTGAGATCCGTCCAGCTGTGTGTGTGAGGCACAGTTACAACATTTGGCACACATTCATGTTTTTGCATTTTGTGTAAAGGTCACATTTGATTGGTCACGCACAAACCAAACACTACACAAAAAAAAAAACCCACACAAAAACCGTGAGTTTGCTGGCGTACAGAATGCGTTTCAACACAATGTAAACGGATGGTATGATAAAAGGCCCCTCGATTCATTCGAATAAAGTACTGCAAAGGCAATGCATACGACGTCTTAAAAACATTCACGACAGATACAGAGCTCGAGTTACAAACGTGTGCTTTTCTGGACCGACGGTCATAAAAAGTAAAGCACTTGAGCGCTCAGCTACAATCTTGTAGTGTTTCCATCACTCCCGAGTGATTGTTTCACGGGTTTTGAAGCATAAATGTGAGTGTGGTGTTATCATGACACCTGGCATTGCTGGTAAACCGTCCGTATTGTGCAGCACTGATGTGTGAAAGTGTATTTGATCGTTATTCACAGCTGAGTTAGTCAGTCCAGAGTCATCCAGACAGTCTCCAGATCAAAGTAGTTCATGTAGTGTAACAAAAACATACAAACGGTGATATCTAAAAGACAAAAAACAAGTGGTTGTGTCCTTGAGACGGAGTCTCTTGTGGTTCTCTCACACGGAGGTCTCTGACTGGAGCCGCATCACGAACTTGTGGCTCTTGGGGTCGATAAACTCCTCCCCCAGGTTGAAGAAGGGGAGGGGCGTCACCGTGACGACCAGAGCGAAATCGAGGCGGCGGAGGGAGAACACGAGCCCCTGCCGCAGCGCTGAGGTCACAGGCTCCTCGCTCACCAGAGTCCACTGGCGGCCCCTGCCGTTCTCTCGCTGGTACTGCATGGTGGGGCCCGGGGCCAGGTAGCGCTCCAGAAACGCCTGAACGACAGACAGACAGACAGATTTCATTTGTGTTCCTTAAGTTACATGCTTGTTTATTTGCATGCTATGCTCTATCTAAAAGCACTTCTAATGGACTTTACACTGGAATTCTTGTAGAGATGTTTTAAAAATGACTCTTTCACACCACAGGACCACTTACAATGAACTAGCGATGGACAAAGCTGATTAAACACGGTGAAAAGAGTCAAATACTGACCAGAAGAAGGATGTAAAATATACACTTCGACATGCATACAGAAATTACAAAAGCTCTTTGGCAACATTATGCATTATCTTCCCATATACAGGTGCATCTCAATAAATTAGAATGTCGTGGAAAAGTTCATTTATTTCAGTAATTCAACTCAAATTGTGAAA